GCCCAATTTCTCCTTCATTCTCTTTCTCATAATTGAAATAAACAGTAACACCCTAAACAGAAAAGCCAAGCTTAAGTCATGCTGGTGGGGTGGGGTTTTTTTTAAGTCTTTTTACTATGACTACCCTGATTATTGAAAGATAATAAAATCACCTCCATTTAGATATGATCCGTAACCCCCAGTTGTTGGGGGCAAAAAAATAAAAAATAAAACACTCTAGTAGTATAAGTGAAAAAGTTGAAAGCAAAGCCCTGATGCTTAACTTTCGGTATACTCATATTTGGAAGTGGATTTTGTGTATTTGAGTTTTGGGGAGCAGTCAAGAGAGAAGATGAACGAGAGCAGAGGTCTGCAAACTGTGGCCTGCAGGCCAAATCTGACCCATCACCTGTTTTTGCATGGCCCACTCTATGGGAATGGTTTTTACATTTTTTGATTGTTGGAAAAAATTTTAGAAGAAAAATTTGTGATACATGAAAAACACATGAAACTCAGAATTTACAGTTTATCAAGTTTTATTGGGACATATCTGTGCTGATTCATTTTGGTATTGTCTGTAGGTGCTTTCGTGCTGCAGGGGCATAATTGAGTAGTTGCAGCAGAGGTCATATGGCCTGCACAGCCTAAAATGTTGACTCCTACACTAGGGGCATGATTTATCCCAACAGTAAGAATGGATCCAAAGAGCTTAGAGACCTCTCAAAATTATCCAGAGGTTCTTTAACTTACATGACCTCATCTGTTTGGACCACTGATAAAAACCTGAAAGTAAGCAAAAAAGGTAAAGCTCTAGTGCTTACTTTGACTCTTGAGAAAAATTCGTGTCTACTACTGATACTGTTTTTTTCTTTTCTTCTTTTTTTTCTGCTTTAGATACTGGTTTTAACAGTTTTCTTGGGTTTGCCTTTTCCCCACATTGACTACCTTCTTAGTAACCATGGCTGTTAGATTAGAGGTCTCTGCATAATTTTTCTCTTTGGGGGGCAGCTTTAAGGCTGCTGGCCAAAGCTCAGTCACTGAAATCTGAGGTTGGTCTTGTATTAAGGTCCGATCTAGCACTTTATTTTAGCTGTTACGGATAACAGTAACCAAGGGATTGAATATTTCTCCTTAAAATTAGTGTGCGTTTTCTTAGACATTTACTTTGTGAAAGTTAAGTCCATCTTTAAATTCCATTGGTAACTTTTACCCTTAGTAACTGAGCGCAGCCCAACTCCTGTTCCATACCATGAGGGACCACGTGGCCACCTAGGAATCAAAAGTTTCTCATCCCCTATCCTTTCGTTCTATTCCCAAACAGCGTATTTCTTTTCTTTTTCTCTCCCCAAGTTGTCTGAACAAACCACGTTTCTGTGAGCCAGGGCTGTACATTAGCAAATCCCACTTCTGACACCAAATGTAAGGCTGTAGGATAAAAACACAGTTTATCCTACTGTACCCTTACAATACAGATCACTTCTGTGATCCCACATGTATTACTTGATATGCTATATCAAGCAATCTGTCCTGCAGCAAATTCTCCAGTGGACACCAGCTGGATGTCCTCTAACTCATTTCTGACCCTGTCTCCCTGGAGAGAGCATCAGCTCCCACAGACTGAGGGCTTGGGCCTATAAGACTGTCCCTCCACTTCAGATTCCAGTCACAAGTCGTAGGTTGTTACCTAGATTTCTGACTGACCAGCTGTAAATCAGGTGTCCCTCTAACCTTCTTTGGTCAATTAATTTGCTAGAACAGTTGACAGAACTCAGGGAAACACTTTACTTAAATTTACCCATTTATTATAAAGGATATTACAAAGAATACCGTTGAGAATAGCCAGATGGAAGAGATGCATTAGGATGAGGTTTGGGAGAATGGGGCAGGCCACTCTCCAGGAACCTCCAAGAGTTCAGCTATCTGTAAGCTCCCAGAATTCAGACATTTTGGAATTTTGCAGAAGCCTCACCTCATTACATAGGCATTAAAATCCTTGGTGATAACTAAGTTTTCAGTCACTCTCTGGAAGCGGGAGGGGGAAGTGAAAGTTCAAACTCTCTAATCAAGAGGATGGTTCCCCTGGCAACCAGCCCCCAGTCAGTCAGCTCATTAGCATGCAGAAGACACTCATTACTCCAGCAATTCCAGGGGTTTTAGGAGCTTTTTGCCAGGAAATGGACAAAGGCCAAAAATACATTTTACAGTATTACAGTTTCAGCCTTTATTCTAAGATGGTATTTTCACCAGGTGTAAAAGTCTGGATTGGCACTCCTTTCAGCACTTTAAAATCTTGTCCTTTATGTTCTGGGCCCCGTTATTTCTGGTTCCAAGTTAGCAGTCATTCATATATCATTGTTCCTCTCTATGTAATGTGTTGTTTTTTTTCTGGCAATCTTCAGGACTTTTTATCTTTGATTTTCAGTGTTTTTATAATGAGTGTAGGTGTAGAATTGTTTGTTCTTTGTTATCTATCCTCGTGTTCACGGGATTTCTTGAATCTGTAAATTTGACTCTCACCAAATTTGGGGGGATTCTGGCCATTGTTTTCTTCGATATTTTTACCACCCTGTTCATTCGTGGAACTCCAGTTACATGTAAGTTGTACTTTTTGGTATTGTTCATGTGAAAATTATACATTAGGTCATTCTTGTAACACCCAACTAAATCAGAATCTAGGGTCCAGAGGAAAAAGGCACTTGAGCACTTAACATCTGATCAAAAAATTAAATTTTCAACAAGAAAATTTAATTTCCAGCTATAGAAATGGCCCACTGTAACCCTGAGACCTGTTTTACCTAGTAGCACCGGAAGCAACTTGCCACTACTCTGAGACCAGCTTCATCTAGTCAGAGCTTGCCAGTTCTCAAAAGCTGCTCTGGTACCAATCTGTCAAAACAGTCTGTAACGTTTCTCTAATAACTTACAGTCTTCTCTTTGTTCTTCAGACATACCCAGGACCATCCAGTGTGTATACATATGCTCCAAATTACATTATTTTCCTTTTTTTAATTTTTTATTTTTTTGAGACGGGGGGACTTTCATTCTGTTACCCATGCAGGAGTGCAGTGGCACACTCACGGGTCATTGTAGCCTTGACTTCCTGGACTTCAGGCGATCCTGCTTGGGACTCAGCCTCCCAAGTAGCTATGGCCATAGGCATGCCCTGCCATAGCAGGCTGATTTTTGTATTTTTTGTAGAGACATTGTTTTTACCTATGACCAAATAGGACCATATGGAGAACATAAGGTTTTTTTTTTTTTTTTTTTTTTTTGAGACAGGGTCTTGCTCTGTCACCCAGGCTGGAGTACAGTGGCACAATTATGGCTTACGGCTGTAGCCTTGACCTCCCAGGCTCAAGCGATATTCCCACCTTAGCCTCCCAAGTAGCTGGGCCCACAGGCATGCACCAACGTGTGCAAAGCTAATTTTGAAATTTCTTGTAAAAATGGAGTCTCGCCATGTTGCCCAGGCTGATCTCTTAACTCCTGGGCTCAAATAATCCACCCACCTTGGCCTCCCAAAGTACTGGGGTTATAGACATGAGCCACTGCACCTAAATTAGATTCTTGCTTCCTAAATACAGCATTTTCAATTTAGAGAGTCATCTCTGTTTTATTTGGCTTTGACATTCTATAGGTCACTGAAGCTCTGTTCATTTTTTTCCCACTATTTTCCCATTCTTCAAATTAGAAATCTTGTTGATACATTTTCAAGTTCATTGACCCTTTCTTTTGTTGTTTTACAATCTGCTAAGTGCATCCAGTGTAATTTTAAAATATTTTCTTCAGTTTTAGAATTGGTTATTTTTGTAGTTTTTCTTTCTCTGCTGAAGTTTTGCATTTGTTCATTCTTTAGGAGCATATTTATCTTTATATCTTTGAACACAGCTATGGTAGTTGCTTTAGGATTCCTGTCTGCTAATTCTAACCTGGGTCATCTTGGAGTGGTTCTTTATTAATTGACTTTTTCCATTAGGTCACATTTTCCTTTTTTCTCACCTGTCTAGTAATTGCAGATTGTATTCCAGACTTCATGATTAATGTATTGAAGATGCTCTAGATTCTGTTGTTTCTTTGGAGAATATGGAGGGTGTGTGTGTGTGTGTTTGGTTTTTTTTTTTTTTTTTTGCTCACTGTAACCTCTGTGTTCCAGGTTGAAGTAATTCTTCTGCCTCCCGAGTAGCTGAGACTACAGGCGTGTGCCACTGCACCCAGCTAATTTTTTTGTGTTTTTGGTAGATACGGGGTTTCACCATATTGGCCAGGCTGGTCTCAAACTCCTGACCTCCAGTTATCCACCCACCTTGGTCTTCCAAAGTGCTGGGGTTATAGTCATGAGCCACCACACCTAGCCGAATGCTGGGTTTTGTTGGGACTCAACCTCCAAATTTCTGTGACTTTTGTGGTGGTCAGCAGTAGAAATTTCTGCTCAGTTCTTTTAGCCTTAAGTGAGCTCCTTGGAGTCTGTCTCACATATGTGCAGTTCAGGTGTCATCTAAAAATCCCGGTGTAATTTATACACGGGACATGGTGTGTCCTCTCTGGGATTCCCTTTCTTACTTTCCAGCAGCTCTGGTTGCTCCAGACTCTGTCCTTTGATTTCTTCAGGCCATTAAGGCTGGGTTCTTAAGGACCCTTCTTCCACATCCAGGCCTTCCCTCAGGCAGAAATGCCATTTAAAAAAAGAAACAACAACAACCAAACAAAAAATCTTACTCTGTGCTACTCCTTTCTTTAAAGGGTAGACTATTCTCCAGTTTCTGGGCTTTAATTGTTTTTTATTGCCTTCACATAGTTGTTGGCACACAGAATAATTCAAGAACCCTTGACCTCATGTTTTTCCATAGGTTTTAAGGTAGGTTGCTGTCATGAACTGTGGGAAAACCTGTCTCCATAGAGAAATCAGTGCTTCCCTTTCTCAGATCATGCTAATATTAGTCATAACAGCAATATAATAAAATAGTTGAAGAAGTCTGTTTAAACATTTCTTTGTACTAATTTTTGTTTTTGTTATTCAACAGGTTTGATCTGTGGATGAAATGAATCATGATTTTCAAGCTCTTGCGTTAGAATCTCGGGGAATGGGAGAGGTAAATGTTTACAAATACTAAGAACTTACACCTCACTTTATTTTGAGCCATTGGAACTTAATTTGTTTTTTTAACCATCAACCTTCCTGGAAATAGTGGTCATATCTTCCAAACTATGTGGAGGGGTTTAAATTTCAGATTGTACAATTCTATTGTGATTTTGGCTTTAAAAAAAAAAAAAACTTTTAGCAGTAATTTTTAGTGTGATTATTTGTGTCTAGGTGATTTGATTGACTTGGTGAGATAATTTCTTATATTTCGGTAATGAACTGTAATTAGCTTTGCTCGAAAAAAAAATCTAGCCTTGTTCTGCTGTTTTATATATGTATGCTGTGTTTACTTTAGTCATACTTGTTTTACTATTCTCCCTTCCAAAAATCTCTTGTTCACCGAAAACTGTTTACTTAACAAACTTCTAATCTTCTACAAGACTCAGCTGTGATGTATCTATTGTCTAGTTGCTATCTGCCATAGAATTAAGCACTTCATCTGACTTCTAGTTCTTTATACAGTCTTTTATTATATTGCTGGTTACAGTTTGTTTTACACTTGTCTCCTCTATAAATTATTAGCTTTGAATGCCTAGCATAGTAGACACTTTGCATTTCTTAATAGATTTTATCATTCTTGTTAATCTGTGTTTTTCTTTGGGGCACCAAAGTTAACCTCATCATTACATATTTTAAGGCATCAAATACTTAGTTTTTCATATAGCTAATGAATACTTAGAGAACTTTGATTATGGAAACTCTTGTGGTGACATCTGTATTTTGTCATGTTCTGTACTACTAACATAGACTTTGATAATAGAAGATAACAGTGAACAGACCTAAGATGTGTAATTAACTGCTTGCTCCTGGAGATTATTTTACCTTGGTAGAATAGAGACCTTCATGAGACTCACTCCATCCAATGCTGTGCTCTTCAGATGCAGAAAAGAGTCCAAGTCTCTCCTTTGGGCCACAAGAGGGCACCCTGCAGCTAGCTAACCCTCCCCTTCTTCAGAACAGCGTTTTCCAAAGAGTATGTCATTTTCAAAGGACTGATTTAAGGGTGAGTTAAGGTGCTTAAGCTTAAGTATTGCCAAAATAAACTTGTTAGACCAGTGCATAAGGTAAAATTCTCAGCCCTAAGAAAAATTGAAGAAATTGGATTTTTTTTGTTAAACAAAATCTATAGCTTCACTGCAGTGCAATATCTGGTTAGGCATTATTTATGCTATTGGCAAATAAGAGGCAGATGAGAAGAGCTTTTATTCTTTCCTGGCCACTAGTTTTCTTTGGTCTTTAAAAAGCAGAATAACATATGTTAAAAGCAGGGTTGAACAGTGCTTCAACCTTCTTGTCTGTGACAAACTTGAACTTGCTGATAATTCTTTAAGAACAAGAGAGTCGTACCCCTACATTAATTTTAGACTCCCTGTATCACTTCTTAGATGTATATTGTATGTGTTTTCAAACTGGTGTTTTTTCACTCTCTAAATATTTAGTAATTCTAAGGTTAGCTTTGCAGAGCAAAAAAATGTCATAATCAGAAACAGTGGTTGAAAGAGTTTAGTTATTTGGGGGATGGAGGAAGGATATCTGAGGTTTTTAGAAAAGAGTAGCTTGGTTGAATGGTACATTAAGAGAAAAAAGCTTAAATCCAGACTTTTTATTGGACATGTCAGATATGCAGAGTGAAAGTGACCAGGGTTTAGACTTCCTGCTACCTGGTGGATAGCAGCATGTCAGTGTATCTGTGTAACCTTCATCCAGTAAAAATATTTTTTAAAATAAGATGTTCTCATTAGTTTTATTTCTTAGCAGTTTAAGCACTAATACCGTCACCTCAGAGATAGCTAAGAAAAACCTACTGAGATTTCTGTCTCTGGGTTCTCTCTCCCACAAGCCTTTCTATCTTTCCTCATCTCACAGGCAGCAGGGAACCTTCTGGGATTTCCTTCTTTGCCTGTCTCTCTCTCACCAGTCTTCTCCTCCTTTCCTGACAGGTGAGGTTTTTTTGTTTTTTTAATATCCCAGAATTCATTCATTGGAGTAAATTAAAAGCAGCCTTGAGTTTCTGGCTCTTGAGTTTTCTAAAAATACTTTTTTCTTTTTAATGCAAAACTCTTTTTAAAATAGATTGCCCTCGTCTTGACTTTCTTTAAAAATAGTTTTTGCTTACTATGTCTTAAGTTTTGTAAATCTCTAATGTACAAAGTGTTGCATCTACATATAGGACTAATTTCAAATTTACTGTTTTATAGATCATGATGTCTTTACTGAGCCATCATCAGAAGGCATCCAGAAATAAGAGCAGATTTATACTCACCTATTCGTAAACTTACCCTCTCTGTTTTTACACTGATACTATGTTTCTGTCGAAAGACCTACTGATTTGCATTTTATGTCATGTGCCTTAAAAAGAGCAAAACTAATCTATAGGGGATTGAACCCTGCTTTATTAGTGTAAAGTCAGACACACTGCATAGGCTCATAACTATTAGCTTCTCTAGGTTGTTGGGGGCACATATAGCTGGGTTTCTGCTTGCTTTTAAATAACAGAAAAGAGGGCCCTGTCTGATATTCTTCAAAAAATCCAGAATCTAACTTTAAATCACTGAATTAATGTCTTTTATTTTGAGAATGTCTTTATAGCTTAGTATGATAAACAGTGCTTTCTCCTGTGTTTCCAACACACTAATATATAAAGAAAGCATTAAAGAAAGCCTGTGTGCTAAGATTCTATGTAGTGTGGTGAAGTTGAAGACTTACTAGGTAGGCGAGTAAGGAGACTTGTGTTTTCTCTCAGATCTCTCACTAGTGTTATGACCTTGAGTAAGACTGACTGACTTTAAAAATAGTAATAAAAATAACCTTTTGTATGAATCACATACATCTCTCAAATGCTCTTATTTTAATCTAAGTTCTTAGGGATAACTGGAATGGAAACCAGCCATTTCAAATAGTGTTTAAATAGCTGATCATAGTTTGTCTACATAATCTCTAAACAATTCTATCTTAAAATTTACCCACTGTAATAGGAAGAATATTATGATAATATTTTAAGCCTTTTTATTTTTTTTTATTCCCAGTGGTGATGTAATACTGGATTCTTTTTTCTTTTTTTTTGCTAGTCTATGTCTGTAGAATAATACTGGAAATTTTCAGAAATCATGATGAATTAAAATATGATTGAAAAGAACTATCTTTTATGGTAGTTAAGTATGAAGAGAAGGGCCTTAGCATTAAGTAGATAGATATGGGTTCAAATCCCATTGTTAACATTTGCCAGCTGTGTATGTAACCTTGGTCAGTTTTCCTTATGCAAAATGTGACTATAGTAGTAAACTGTTCTTTCTAAGTAGTGGGCTTTCATCATCCCCCTAGGGTAGTCAAACCAACTCAAGAGAAAAGAAGTCAAACAGCTATAGACAAAATTGTTATAGTGAATAATATAATATTTGAAATAGTTGAATGTTGTGTGTCAGTAAGTTAAGTCATGTTTGATAACATTAAAGAATTCATACTGTTGGTAGTGAAGATACCTAATATTTATGTGTCTGCTATGTACTACATGTCATTCTTTTTTTTTGGAGATGGAGTCTCGCTCTGTTGCCTAGGCTGGAGTGCAGTGGCGTGATCTCGGCTCACTGCAACCTCCACCTCCCAGGTTCAAGTGATTCTTCTACCTCAGCCTCCCGAGTAGCTGGGACTACAAGCGCGTGCCTCTACGCCTGGCTAATTTTGTGTATTTTTAATAGAGACAGGGTTTCATCGTGTTAGCCAGGGTGGTCTCAATCTCCTGACCTCGTGATCTGCCCGCCTTGGCCTCCCAAAGTGGTAGGATTACAGGCGTGAGCCACTGCACCTGGCCCTAGATGTCATTCTAAGCAGTTTACAGATGAGGAGACTGAAGCTCAGAAAAGGTTCATTAAAACTAGTCCAAGGCCACATAATAGTACTTGAAGAGCAGTTTGAACTCAGAGAAGTTTTGAGTGTTTACAGTACTACTTCCTGTTGGAAGTGACGATATTTAGTAATGTTTGCTGTTGATACCAAGGATTTGGGGAAGTAGTATGAGTTGAGAAAATAAAAATGTTAATATCTTTTATTAACAGAAAAGATTAAAGTTTGGAAAAGCACCATTTTTGTGTTCTATGGAGTTACTTTGTGTTTTGTTCTCTATGTTCTCTATGTTCCATTTGTTGTTGTTTGTTTGGTTTGTTTTTTGTTTTGGAGATAGGATCTTGCTCTGTGGCCCAAGCTGGAGTGTAGTGCCATCGTCTCAACTTACTGCAACCTCTGACTCCTGGGCTCAAGTGATCCTCCCATATCCGCCTCCCCGGTATCTGGGACTACAGGTGCACGCCACCACGCCTGGCTAATTTTTATATTTTTTGTAGAGACAGAGTTTTGCCATGTTGCCTAGGCTGGTCTCGAACTCCTGAGCTCAAGCAGTCTGCCTGCCTCAGCTAAATTATAGCTCACTGCAGTGTCAACCTCCCAGGCTCATTCTTTCCTCCTGTCTCAGCCTCCTAAGTAGCTGGGACTAGAGGTACATGCCACCACACCTGGCTAATTTATTTTATATTTATTTATTTATAATTATTTTATTTTTAAAAAGAGACAGGGTCTCACAGTGTTGGCCAGGCTGGTCTCTAGCTCCTGGGCTCAAATTATCTTCATATCTCCCACAATGCTGGGATTACAGGCATGAGTCTCTGCTCCCTGCTACAACTTAGTTTTGAGGATCTGTTCTTACCTCTTTTGAGCTTCCATTATAAGTAGAGTGACTTTACATTCTGATTTGCCCAGGACAGCTCAGATCTGTATCTTCTCATGGCATAATTATTAATAGCATCTCTTTTCGCAGAAATATCCCATTTGGGATGATAAGTTATATAAATAATTTAAAACATAATTTACATTTTAAATCCTTTTAAGTCTTGGGATTATGTTTATTTGGTTGGTTTAAGGGTTTTCCATAACAATTTAAAAAGTCTGAGGTATAGGTGTACTTATGTAAATGCCCGAGTGGGAGTTTGATTTTTTGTTTTGTTTTGTTTTGTTTTTGATGCAGTATGCCTGGGTGCTGATTGATTTCTTTGGAAATGGAGAAAGCAAGCCATACATACTTTTGAAGGAAAAGACACTGTATTTCACTCAAACATTGGAGTTAGGATAGAAGAACAGATTGATAAGAGACACTGAGTTGCCTGACCTTCCTTTAGAATTTGTGAAGTAGGGAACTAATATGAAGTGGTATTGGATAACATATTTTATATAGATCTTAACCGTTTCTTAATTTTGTTTTCTGTAATGTTGTATGGTTGCTATTTCTACTACAGTAAAAGACTCTCCAGGGGCAAATCTCCTATTTTTATTGCTTTTCTAATCAATGCATTGTTTAACCTTTTTTTTCCCCCCCTTTGACTGATCTATTCTGAATTGTTGCCTTCCCCTACATGTAGTTCATTTAACCTGTTCTTAGTCACCGGCTAGTAGATCCCCTAAAAGTATTTGAATCAGTATCTTAACTGTCAGAGCAAATAGTTTTTAGAATATCAGTGAAGGCCTTTGGTAGAGTGTTAATTTCAACTATTAAATTTTCCTGTGCGTAAAAACTTACTAAATGTTTGAAAATGAATGTACTCATAGTATAGTGCTTGGCCATGGTAGACACACTTGGTAAGTGGTTTACAGACTCCCTACTTCCCCCCCTCCCCGCCTAGGTATGCAATTTGCCTTTTTTTTTTTTGAGACGGAATCTCGCTCTGTCGCCAGGCTGAAGTGCAGTGGCACAATCTCAGCTCACTGCAACCTCAGCCTCCCAAGTTCAATCGATTCTCTTGCCTCAGCCTCCTGAGTAGCTGGGACTACAGGTGCGCACTGCAGTTTGCATTTTGAAAACAGTGATCTGTGAAAGAACTCCCAGAACTTTAATCCCAAAAGACTTTAGAATCGTCTCAAAGGGGTGCTGTTACTTTTACTACCTCATAAGATTAGTCTGTTTTAGCCACTTCTGTGTCTGGGATAAATGCTTTATTAGTTGTTACAACTTTATTTTAGATTACTTATTTGTTATTCTTATTTTGATACTGAGACATTTTTCTTCATGAAGTATGGGATAAAAGCATTGCTTTATTCTTTCAGGAATTATTTTCATCTGCTTGGAATGGCTTATTTATACAGTATTTTTAAGGGATTAACTTGGGTTTTAACTATGAATGTTCAGTTATTTAAATACATGAAGTATCGTGCTTTAGTATTCATATTATTAGGTTTATGTTTTGTTGAATATTTACGTGAATCTTTTATGGTGAGATTTTTAAAATAGAAGGAATAGAGGTTATAGTTTACTTACTGGGATCTTTATTAGAGCAGATTTTTGTTTAAAATGTCTGCTCTTCATAAATTCAAATCATTTACAGCCCAGGGCCATCCTACCATTTAAAAACTTTTTTTAAAAAATGGAGTTCTTTTTTTTTTTAATTAAAACATTTACATTAAACATTTTAATTAACATTTTAAAATTAAAACTTTAAGTTTAATTTAGTTGAGCAAAAGATCTGTAGTTCAGGAACATGCCCACATTGGATATTTTCTCTTCTCTTTAAAGCGGCTTCTCCTGGTTTGTTGTTGTTTTCCTATTTTGGTCAATAGCACTGCCATTTACCTTTTTACCTGTTTAAGTTATTAAACAGGTTATTCTTTTTACTTACCTTCCCCACCGTTTGTATTCGGATCCTTTTGACTCCAAGGTGTCTGTCAGATCCATTTTATTTTCTCAGCTTTCTCTGCCAGTACCCTCTTTTTTGTTTGTTTTTTGAGACAGAATCTTACTCTGTCACCCAGGCTGGAGTGCAGTGGCGCAGCCTCTGCCTCCCGGGTTCAAGCACTTCTCTGCCTCAGCCTCCCGAGTAGCCGGGATTACAGGTGCCGGCCAACACTCCCGGCTAATTTTTGTATTTTTAGTAGAGACAGGGTTTCACCATCTTGGCCAGGCTGGTCTTGAACTCCTGACCTCGTGATCCACCTGCTTAGGCCTCCCAAAGTGCTGAGATTACAGGTGTGAGCCACTGTGTCTGACCCAGTACCCTCTTTTAGTTCTTGCTCTCTTGGCCCTCTTATTATAAATTGCCAAAATTGATCTCCTTGTGCTATTTGTTATTCTTAAAACTTACAACTTGTGTTTTTTGTAATACCTAGTGTTACCCTTGCTAACTCTTCTCTGTTCCCTGTTGCTTCAGTAGAACATCTAACTTCCTTAGCATGTCTTTAAGGGTCCTCATAATCTGATCTGCCGGCATCTGTTAGCTTTGCTAGCATCAACTTTTGACCTTGCCACATGTTTCATCTTACACCCTATTCTACACACTGTGCATTTTCTCAAGTTTTGCCTTTATTGATGGTTTACTACGTCACACACACAAACACACACACACATCTTATCTTAGACCTATTTCAGGTATTACCTAGTTCTAAGTTTATATGTTTGTAAGCTCTCTGAAGATGAGCAGACCATGCCCTTAAGAGGTAAACATACAGGTAATTGAGTGTGATAAGTTTAATAGAAGTATACACAGGTTTTATTGTTAGCACTGAAAAGACTGGGCACCTAATTAAGGGTTGAGAGTGATGGTGTCTTATGAATGCTGCTTTAAAATGCTAAGTGCACTTCTCAGAAAACCAGTGTGTTCTTTTCAAACAAACATATCCAAGTTGGCCACCTCCTAAGCGTCAGGGACAGTAGGGAGATATGAATGAATATTAAAGAATAAGAATTGCCCAAAATGTTCATTTTGAATAATCAATGAATGATTGTAGCAATGCAATTTTTATGTGCTATGCATGTCACTGTATTGGATAGAGCACAGGGCCTTGAGATTGTTTCTTTTCTATGCATGTTTTCTACCATCCATAGCTTTTTGTTATGGGATTGACAGTACTCAGCAGCTAGTAAGAGGTGTGAAATTCACTTCCATTGAATAACTGAGTTAAGAATGAAAAAATATTTTCTATTCTGGAAGATATGATAGGAGGTGGTCTAGGCAGAAGATGTGGAAGTGAAGGAAAAAGTTTAATCATTCCTATGGATGTGATTATTAAATCTGTTATTGAGTAAGAAATTTAATAAGCCTTTTGAATAAATTTACATTGTAATAAAAATGTATGGAAAGTGAAAAAAGTCAGAAGTAGATTTTGATTTTTGTTTAAGGTCTAGAATTATTAACACCAGCACACAAAAATAAGTGGGGAGTTAATTTACTATCAACAAAACAACTTAGAAAATAGGTCATTCTGAATTTTCGTTAGCATTGAAAACTAATGTATCCATAGAATTGATATGTTTGAGACTTCTTATATGTTAATTCTTTGTAATTAGAATAACTGTAATTTTTCCTCCAAATAGCTTTTGCCTACCAAAAAGTTTTGGGAACCTGATGATTCAACAAAAGATGGACAAAAAGGCATATTTCTTGGGGATGATGAATGGAGAGAGACTGCATGGGGAACTTCTCGTAAGTTACTGGTATATGAATTATGAATATATTTAGCATTTTATAAGTCATATGCACCTTTTTTTTTTTTTTTTTTCCAGACAGAGTCTCCAAATTTTTGCATTTTTGTAGAGTTTCGCTGTGTTGCCCAGGCTAGTCTCAAATAACTGGGCTCATGAAATTCTCCTGCCTTGGCCTCCCAAAGTGCTGAGATTATAGGCGTGAGCCACCACACCCAGCCCTATGCACATTTTCTTAATGGCAGCTAAGAAATGTAATTTTAGAAGTATTTGTCACAGTAAGATTTTATTAAGGGTTTTTTTTTTTAATTGATTGTAAAATTCTGTGGCTATTAAAAAACAAGATGCTCGTGAGGTTGTGGTGAAAAAGGACCACTTATACACTAGTAGTGGGAATGTAAATTAGTTCAGCCATTGTGGAAAGCATTGTGTCAATTCCTCAGAGAAGTAAAAACAAAATTATTCAATTCAGCAATCCCATTTTTGGGTATATACCCCAAGGAATATAAATTGTGCTACCATAAGACACACACGTGTATGTTCGTAGCAGCACTATTCCATAATAGCAAAACCATGGAAAAATCTAAATGGCCATCAACAGTAGGCTGGATAAAGAAAATCTGGTACATATGCACCATGGAACACTACGCAGCCATGAAAAAAAGTTGTGAGATAATGTCCTTTGCAGCAACATGGATGGGGCTGGAGACCATTACCTTTAGCAAACTAACAAAGGAACAGAAAATCAAATACCGCTTGTTCTCACTTATTAGATGGGAGCTAAATAACAAGAACACAGGGACACAAAGAGGAGAACAACCGACATGGCGTCTTCCTTGAGAGTAGAGGATGGAGGGAGAGGATCAGAAAAAATACCTGTCAGGTACTATTTTTAGTACCTGAGTAATGAAATAATCTGTACACCAAAACCCTGTGACATGAATTTACCTATATAACAAACCTGCACATGTACCCCCCCGAATCTAGAATAAAAGTTTAAAAATAATAAAATTCTGAATTTTCATTTAAAATGGAGGATAGATTAACCATAGAAATTTTTAGTCTTAATTTGTGCTAGATGATCGTGACTGATTTATTTAATTGCAGGTCAGCCTAGCTTTATTAGATATCTGCCACACCCAGGAAGGAAGTAGTAGACTGTCTTGGTAAGATAGAGCTCCCAGAAAGGGAGCAGATCTTTAAATGTTTTGATTTCGACTTCATAAGTAATGGGGAGAGGCTTAGGTCTAAGAAACTGTTAAGGGAAAATTAGCTGGTGTATAAGGAGTATAACATGCAGGAGTGACAGTGTTGGCAAATTAAAGATCATAGTTAAATGCTTTTTTTTCTTTTTAAGAGGGTGTTGCTCTGTTGCCTAGGCTGGTGTGCAGTGGCACGATCTTAGCTCGCTGCTGTCTCAAACTTTTGGGCCAAAAAGATCCTTCCACGTCCTCCTCCCGAGTAGCTAGGACTACAGGCTCACACCATCACATCTGGCTAATTTTTCTTTATTTTTTTTTCCCTGAGACGAAGTCTCATTCTGTCGCCCAGGCTGGAGTGCAGTGGCCCAATCTTGGCTCACTGCAAACTCCGCCTCCCAGGTTCAAGTGATTCTCCTGCCTCAGCCTCCTGAGTAGCTGGGATAATAGGTACCTGCCACCACACCCTGCTAATTTTCCTATTTTTAGTAGAGACGGGGTTTCACCATGTTGGCCAGGCTGGTCTTGAAATCTTACCTCAGGTGATCTGCCCACCTCAGCCTCCCAAAGTGCTGGGATTAGGGCATGAGCCATCATGCCTGGCCAGGTCTGGCTAGTTTTTAAAACTTTTTTTTTTTTTTTTAGAGATGGGGTCTCACTATGTTGCCCAGGCTGGTCTCGGAATTTCTGCCTTCAAGTGATCCTCCTGCCTCAGGCGTGAGCCACCTTGTTCGGCCCATAGTTGTGTTAAAGTAGTTAGCATATCTTTTTACTGATTATATTTTAAAATGTTTCCAGTTAGTAAAATCTGAGAGGCGTCCAGCTAGATCATGTATTTTACAAATATTTTCCTTTTTTTATTTAAGTTAATACAGTTTGCTTAAGCTCTGCAGAATGACCAAAGTAATAATGAAAACAAGTTTTGCATGATAATTACCCAATTATCATTATTTTTTCAGTATTAATCACGAGATATTTTCTTATTCTCTAAATCATGAAAATATATTAGAAGATTTAATGCTTCTATATGGTGTTTCATTTCATTACTGTTAAAATAATTGCCAAAAAGCTAAAATCTAAAAGGTTAAGGTCTGGAAAATGTGGTGATTTCAACAAAGTAGGTTGCAAATGTTGGCAACAAGTAATTTAGACAGAAATTTTCTTAAAATATTATAAATTTCCTTTGAGTTCAACTAATATGTGATGCATAATATGCCAGGTTTGGAGAATATAAAGATAAATGACATGACGCTTGTCCTCAAGGGTCCCTTGTCCTTTATTTTTCTGAATTAGAATTAACCTATATTAGGTTAGACTCATAATTTTAAATATTTAGTAATTTGGACTGGGATATATCTTTGCTACAAAAGGCATATTTCTTGCTGAGAGCATGTGTGCTTGATAACTTGGTTGATGGACATGATTTGAAAGTTGCATGCACAACTTATTTACCAGAATGAGAACCAAAGATTTTTAAAATCTTTTATCTTCTTTTTTTTCCCTAAGACCAGCTTATAAGGCTGGCTAATTTTTATATTTTTGGTAGAGATGGGGTTTCACCATGTTGCCGAGGCTGGTCTCGAACTACTGAGGAGCTCAAACAATCTGCCTGCCTTAGCCTCCCAAAGTGCTGTGATTAAAGGCATGAGCCACTGTGCCCAGCCAACCAAAGATTTTTTGAGGTGTTGAAAAGCAAAGCATCCTGAGCACAGCATGACAAAGAGAGATTATTTGAAGATAGATGATAGGGAAACCGTGAAATTTATGATTTCAATTTTTTGTGCCCCTCTTCTCCCAACTCTCATAACATTTTGAAGATGAGTGTTTGTCTTTTACTAGAAACCATGAGAAAATTAGAAATGAATGGAATTTTGTTTACCTAGCGAACATTTATTGAATGCCAGACACATAGAAATATGCATAACACCTTCTTGTTCTCAAGGAATTGTCTTTCTAAGAGAATCTCTTTCTATGACTGCAGGAGACTTGACATACTCCCTCTCAGCAGAACCACATTACTTGTGATTATCAAGTTCATTATGTTCTCCAGCACTTCTTGGCATTTGAACTTTCTGGTTTCTGTAACTGAAATGTCCTGTCACTCCCACCTCCCCATTGGTTACCTTTTTTTAACCCTTCATTATCAGCTGAAATATCACTTCCATCTGTAATTACAGCACTTTAGGAGATCAAGGCTGGCAGATGCTTGAGGCCACGAGTTTGAGACCAGCTGGGCAATATAGTAAGACCCTGCACCTTCCCACCAAAAAAAAAAAAAAAAAAGGAAGCACACTTCCTTTGGTGGCATTGATTCTAAGACTTAGAAGGATTGATGCCCATCTTTCTTATTTTTGCTTTTTTTTTTTTCTTAAATTTTACTTTTTACTTAAAGCTCTGTTGGACTTGAATGCCAGTCTTTCAGATCTCATGGTGTCATGGATTATATTTTGGTTGAAGCTCTTTTATTCTATTCTAATTGCCTTTTATTAAACCTATACTCTTGAGAACAGACTGTTCTCGGATTCCTCAGATATAGGTCATTGCTTAGCATACAAGAGAATGAATCAATGTTTCAACTGTATAATGAATGGATGAATGATTGAAAGAGAGGATATAATGACTAATCTCTTATGGATGCAGATACTGAAATGGAAATGTTTTGATTTGGTTTAACAAACATGGCAATCATTTCAAAATTATTACAGTTAATAAAATGATGACTGGCTACCAGTATGAAATTTCAGCCTCAGTAGTTTAAATATTGAGTGTTACACCTGTCACAAACAATCCAGAGGTAGCTGGTAGCTTATGGGTTCTTTCAAAAAAGTTTCCAGCAAAAACTGTTTGAATGTTGCCTCAAATGTGTTACTGTATTTGTATTCCATTAACTCTCAGATCTTAAATACTACCTTTACTTTTCATTCCAAAAGTATGGAGAAAAAAATATATCAAATGAATAATTTTGTTTTAAAATAAATGGAAAACTTTTAAGCTAGAAGATAATTTAGTTTTTTTTAAACCAAGAATAGAAAATTCTGTAGTATTACTGATTTTTCCGGACTTACTCATTTGTGATTATAGCGTTACAGTCATGAGTTCTGTTCTATCCAGTGCATAACTGTGAACTTGAGAAGTGTTTCTGCCAAATTGAAAGTTTATTTTATTTTATTATTTTAATTTGTTTATTTGCAGTGAGGAGCAGAGTCTCCTGTGTCACCCAGGCTGGAGTGCAGTGGCACAATCAAGGCCCACCAAAGCCTTGACCTCCCTGGCTCAGGCAATCCTTTCACCTCATCAGCCTCCTTAGTAGCTGGGACTATTAAGTGCCTGTCACCATGTCCAGCTAATTTTTGTATTCTCAGTAGAGATGGGGTTTCGCCTTTTTGTCCAGGCTGGTCTTGAACTCCTGAGCTCAAGCAGTCCACCTGCCTCAGTCTCCCAAAGTACTGATTACAGGAGTGAGTGACTGCCTCTGGCATTTTTTTTTTTTTTTTTTTTTTTTGAGACAGAATCTCACTCTGTCACCCAGAGCGGAGTGCAGTGGTGTGAACATGGCTCACTGCAGCCTCAACCTCCTGGGTTCAAGTAATCTTCCCACCTCAGCTCTCAGCTCCTGAGTAGCTGGGACTACAGACCTGTGCTGCCATGCTTGGCTAATTTTTAAACTTTTGGTAGAGATGGGAACTCACCATGTTTCCCATGCTAGTCTTAAACTCCTCTGCCCAAGTGATCCTCCTCAGCTTCCCGAAGTGCTGGGATAACAGGTATGAGCCCCTGCTGTCCAGCCTCTTCTAGGTTTTATCCCTGAAGGTTTATGTTATGAATCGTTACAAATTGTTAAAAGAAGGTTAACTTTTTAAAATGATGTTTATAAGCAACTGATCCTTCAGGTAGTATCTTTTGGGTACTGTGTCTACCTTTATTGACCTTTTTGGTTGTACTGTTCTTAACATAGGTTTTTATCTGTTTATTGCCAAATGGCTCTTTCCATCTGTATTTTCAAGATACGTGCTCCAGCCAGTTAGTCTCAACCAGATGGAGAGCTTTTTATTTATTTTTTATGTTTTTTTTATTATTATTATACTTTAAGTTCTAGGGTACATGTGCACAAAGCACAGGTTTATTACATAGGTATACATGTGCCATGTTGGTTTGCTGGACCCATCAACTCGTCATTTACATTAGGTATTTCTTCTAATGCTATCCCTCCTCCAGCCCCGCAACCCCCAACAGGCCCAGGTGTGTGATGTTCCCCTCCCTGGGTCCATGTGTTCTCATTGTTCAACTCCTACTTATGAGTGAGAACATGCAGTGTTGGGTTTTCTGTCCTTGTGATATTTTGCTGAGAATGATGGTTTCCAGCTTCATCCATGTCCCTGCAAAGGACATCAACTCATCCTTTTTTATGGCTGCATAGTATTCCATGGTGTCTGTGTGCCACGTTTTCTTTATCCAGCCTATTATTCCTGGACATTTGGGTTGCTGCAATAAACATATATGTGCATGTGTTTTTATAATAGCATGATTTGTAATCCTTTGGGTATATACCCAGTAATGAGATTACTGAGTCAAATGATATTTCTGGTTCTAGATCCTTGAGGAATCGCCACACTGTCTTCCACAATGGTTGAACTCATTTACACTGCCACCAACAGTGTAAAAGCGTTCCTATTTCTCCATATCCTCTCCACCATCTGTTGTTTACTGACTTTTTAGTGCTCGCCATTCTAACTTGCGTGAGATGGTTTCTCATTGTTGTTTTGATTTGCATTTCTCTGATGACCAGTGGTGATGAGCATTTTTTCATGTATCTGTTGGCTGCATAAATGTCTTTTGAGAAGTATCTGATTATATCTTTCACCCACTTTTTGATGGGGTGTTTTTTTCTTTCAAATTTATTTAAGTTCTTTGTAGATTCTGGGTATTAGCCCTTTGTTGAATGGATAGATTGCAAAAATTTTCCCCCATTCTGTTGGCTGCCTGTTCACTCAGATGATAGTTTATTTTGCTGTGCAGAAGCTCGTTAGTTTAATTAGATCCCATTTGCCAATTTTGGCTTTTGTTGCCATTGCTTTTGGTGTTTTAGTCATGAAGTCTTTGCCCATGCCTACGTCCTGAATGGTATTGCCTAGGTTTTCTTCTGGGGTTTTTATGGTTTTAGGTCTTATATGTAAGTCTTTAATCCATCTTGAGTTAAGTTTTGTATAAGTTGTAAGGAAGGGATCCAGTTTCAGCTTTCTACATATGGCTAGCCAATTTTCCTAGCACCATTTATTAAATAGGGAATCCTTTCCCCATTTCTTGTTTTTGTCAGATTTGTCAAAGATCAGATGGCTATAGATGTGTTATTTTTGAGGCCTCTGTTCTGTTCCATTGGTCTATATATCTGTTTTGGTACCAGTACCGTGCTGTTTTGGTTACTGTAGCCTTGTAGTATAGTTTGAAGTCAGGTAGCGTGATGCCTCCAACTTTGTTCTTTTTGCTTAGGATTGTCTTGGCTGTATGGGCTCTTTTATGGTTTCATATGAAATTTAAAGTAGTTTTATCTAATTTTATGAAGAAAGTCAGTGGTAGCTTGATGGGGATAGCATTGAATCTATAAATTACCTTGGGTAGTGGGGCCATTTTCACAATACTGACTCTTCCTAGCCACGAGCATGGAATGTTCTTCCATTTGTTTGTGTCCTATGAAGAACTTTAAAGATTATAGTAATAACATTGAAAATAAAGCAATGTGCTGATTTTTCTTCAGTATATTCATTTGTGTAACTACATTTTGTTTAACTTAAAAGTACATGTATGTAATTGTATTTTTTCTTCCAAACAGACCATTCAATGTCCCAGCCTATTATGGTACAGAGAAGATCTGGACAGGGTTTTCATGGAAACAGTGAAGTAAATGCAATACTGTCTCCGCGATCAGAAAGTGGAGGCCTTGGTGTGAGCATGGTAGAATATGTATTAAGTTCTTCTCCTGCTGATAAATTGGATTCTCGATTTAGGAAGGGAAATTTTGTAAGTATTTTGAATAAAGAAATATTTAATATTTGCTTGAGAGTTATTTGGTTACATTACTTTTTATTTTTAATTCAGTTTATTTTTCTGTGCCCTTCCTATAGCTAAGGGAAATTTTGTAACTATTATTGCTATTTTTCTGCTTAGCCACTTGAAGAAGGTGAAATGATAGAACCATTGGAAATATGTATGATTTGAACCATGTTACAGAAGTCAAATCATACTAATTTTAAAACATAATCTGCAAAATTAAAATTGCTTATTCCTGGTAGTGCTTGATGTGAAAGTAGCTAAACAAAATCTTCTACGCATTATTTTAATCTAGTTTGTGGTGTTAACTGCTTTTCCAGCACCGCTATAGTTAAGGTTGCCTTAGCCCTTCTGTTATAAATAACTAGTTTGTACTCAATTTTTGGGCCTTTGATGAATTAATTGACTACTAAATTAAATAAGATTCAATGCTTTTATTGTTTACATGCACTGTAGTGTAGTGTTAGGTCACCTTATGGTGCCTTTTATTTTTGTGTTCTATTAAATATTCAGAATCAAACAGATTCTTTTTCCTCAGGGCACTAGAGATGCTGAAACAGATGGACCTGAGAAAGGAGATCAAAAAGGCAAGGCTTCTCCATTTGAGGAGGACCAAAACAGAGATCTTAAACAAGGAGATGATGATGATTCTAAAATAAATGGCAGAGGTTTGCCAAATGGAATGGATGCCGATTGCAAAGATTTTAAGTAAGATTTTAACTTTCTCAAGAAGAAAAGCGTATCTTTTTAGGGATTACTACTATTAGTTGATGTGACTGATTTAGACATTTTCATCATTTAGGTTTATTTCCTTTGAACTTTGTGTTAATCTGGACAAATTTTATTTTTTTACTATAAAGAAAATTTGTGATTATGAACCATTTAAAAAAAATAATCTTCAAACCAGCCTCTGAAACAGTGCATTCTGTTGAAGGAGTAATGTTAGAAGCTGCACTTACTTTTCTGTTAATATAATAGTCCAAATTTGAACTTTTTCCTTTCTGTTAAATTTTAGTGAAGTGTAGGTTTACTCTGATTTTTTTTTCCCTCTTGGGAGTGCTTTTGAGCACCTTTCAGTGGAGTTTTCTTCCTTCTGAGTATTTATGCCCTGCCTCCCATTTAACTTTTAATCTTAGAAAAGAGGAGACAAAATTAGCTTAGGAGTAGTAATCTTTCTTACAATATATGAGTTTGTGCTAATACTTAAGATTATTCCTGCAAATCGCAAGTGGGGAGCATATTAGAGACTTTTAAAAGTTAGCTTTAAGCTCATAATTTTTTATATTATAGCTTTTTGTTGTCTTTTTATGTAGCTTTTTATTGTTTTTTTATGGCAGTTAAATAAGTACTTTAGCCTTTGGTCTTAGATTAGACAGTGTACCTTTATCTACATATTAGGTAATTGTTTCTTTGTATTGATTTTCTGTAATATTTCAATAATGAGGTGCTTTGGAGCCTGTATCTGAAAATGAGCTGTTTCTTTGAGGTCCTCTGACCGTGGAATCTTACATAAAAGAGTATTAGGTATATGGTGGGTGGTATTCTTTTACATTTATTGCCTTTTATTATCAAAAGCAAAGTAACAATGCTTCTTAAAAACAGTGCCATTTCTATCTGTTCTGAGTGCAAAAAAGCATCCAAAACCAGTAAACCTCTTTTGACAAGAAATACATTTAATGTTATTCAGATTTAGAACTTTATTCTGAGTTTGTTCTTCACTATTACCTAATCTAAGTTTTAGTTAAGGAAATGCATTTAAAATTCAGTTGATGATAAACCCTTCAGAGTATACATTTATAATTGAAGTGTTAATACACCATTAACTATAGCAAGAAAATAGCACCACTGATAGCATTACTTTTTTTCATAATGTCCTCTATTTTTGTTTTATATGAGTTACTTTGTGTGAGAGGTTATACTTCTCCCCTGAAATATTAATGTGGATTTTACATTTATTAGCATTCTAATTTTATTCCATTAAGTTTTAGATATGTGTTTTAAATTGCTAATTATTTTAGATACAGTGTTAGTTATTACTTGGCAGTGTTAAAATGTATTAACACAAACAGCTGTGGTCATATGGTCACTATGCCAGCACATCATTAATTTCTACATTAACTGATATGTCATCAATATGTACATTATTGGAGTATAACAGAAATCAATAACATAACTATTGGACACTTACTTTTTTAAAGAAAAATTGGCTGATTTTAAAGAAAATCCTTTTAGTTTTTTCTTTCCATATGTTCCAAATGAAAAATGAGCCTTTGGAATGTTCACATACAAAATTAGGTGTGGTTTAAAGGGAAAGGAGTTTGAAATCTTCTGATTTTGCAAGGACAAAATGGTTGATGTTTAAATGAAATGTTAAGTTTGCTTGTATACCTATAGAGAACAATTCTTGTAATCAAGAAATTGCTTTGTAAACTATATGTTAGCAAATTTATTCGAATCCAGACCACCTGAAGTTGGGAAGAGTTAGATAGATGTAGCAACTGGCATTAAAAGCCAGGTAGAACAGTGCCATTTACTTAATGTACTCATGCTTGAATATCCTGTTGAATGCATAGTTACTCTGAACAATAAACTCTTTCTTACAAAGGAAAGGATCCTATATAAAATATTTATGTATAAGATAAGCTATAAATGAGGATTGGTCATGAGCTAGAAATGTAAGTTTAGACCATGAAGGTGGTTAGTAAAAAGAGAAGCCAGTACTTAAAATTTAGTCCAGTGTTAATTAATTCCTTGTGAAAATTAAGGAGGCCATATAGTAGTAAGGTCCCTTTTTCTATTTTTTATGTAGAAAGATCCTTTTCTTGCTGTGTATACTTAATTTTTGATAAATGTCATACATTTCCATATCTTTCTGATGGTTTCAACTGAACTATTTGGTATAATAAACATTGTCTTTAGAGGGCTTTCATAGAGGACTTTCACAAATAGTTTCTTTTGTTCTTATTAGTTGGAATCAAAAGGTCATCTCTTAAGTAAGAAAACTGCTGCTTGAAAGATGACATGGCTTGCTCAAAATCATATTTAAAAGACAAAGTCAGGAGTCAGCCTTTTGACTTACCATGTATGGAACCCCTTTCCTGTTGCATCCCACATTTTGGCCCCTTAAATAATGAAGACCATAATGATCTCTTATGGCCAAATTTTTTTCTTAAGTATTATTAAGCAGGATGTTATGGCAAAATTATGTGTTGGCGGGGCAGGACAGCAGTATGGTAAGTAGGTTTTGGTTTTGAGCTTTTTCGTATTTGCCACTTAATAATCTGCTGTTTATACACTGTTTGTGACTATGACTTGAGACAGAGATTTCAGGTAGTATAAGCCTAAGTTGTGATACTGGCCAGTTTTTCTAATCTGTAAAATTGCGTTATATCTTTATGTTATTCAGATTGAAGAGAGTAATCATTAATAATATTTTTAAAATCCTCAAATCATGCCAGCTCTTAAGAGGAAAGTTATATTAAATAGAAAAAAATGCAATAAGATGGCATAGTGACCCAGAATGCCTTATTCACTGTATTTTATAACCATTTGTTCTTCATGATTTTTCTATTTTCCCATTTCACCATTTGACTTGTTACTTTTATTTATAAGGCTTTTCTATTTCCTTTATATAGTCGTACTCCTGGAAGTCGTCAAGCCTCTCCAACTGAAGTAGTTGAGCGCTTGGGCCCCAATACTAATCCCTCAGAAGGACTGGGGCCTCTTCCTAATCCTACAGCTAATAAACCACTTGTTGAAGAATTTTCAAATCCTGAAACTCAGAATCTGGATGCCATGGAACAAGTTGGTCTGGAATCCTTACAGTTTGACTATCCTGGTAATCAGGTACCAATGGACTCTTCAGGAGCTACTGTAGGCCTTTTTGACTACAATTCCCAGCAGCAGGTAAAAGCATGCTCTTTCTTTAAGAAGGTCCTCTTAGTTATATACTGGTTTAGCCTGAAGTGCTATGTGGCATTGAAAGAATGGTAGGAGTGTTTGAGTACTAAATGTTTTATTGATTAAAGTGTCCTTGTATTTGAGAAAGTGCTCCCCCTCCCCCCAAAAAAAAAAAGTTTAAAATGTTTTATTCAGATTTCTAATTAGAAATGAAAGATTTTGACACTAATCTTTGTGTTAAATATTTTCCCTAATAGCTCTTTCAGAGGACTAATGCACTAACAGTTCAGCAGTTAACTGCAGCTCAACAGCAGCAATATGCATTAGCAGCAGCTCAGCAGCCACATATAGGTGAGTCTTCGTCATTTTGACCAAAGTCTTGTTAAAATATCTAGGATGTTTCACTTCTCATTTACTGATTGGTGAGGTTTTGTTACTTTTTGAAACATCTGAGATCAACAAGTAATAGGTTGTATGACAAAGGTATTCATTAACTAGGGAATTGTTTCTGATTATTATTTGCATCACTAGTTAAATTAAATAAAAATCTGTAATTTTATAAAAGTTGTCATCACGTAAGTTTTTCTCCAATGTGAAGTTGAGAAAGTCGAACACCTGGAAATTCAAATTTAGTTACTTGTGTCCATTATCAAGTCAGTATGTTCATTTAAATTTTTTTGTAAAATATTTTTTTCCACGAAGTTATTTGGTCTTTGACTTTTAATCTGCTAGTATTTAAGCTTGGTACATTATGTTGTCTGTACTGGGTCTCCCCCCTACCTCCCACAGTAATAATATGGGAATAATTTCCCTATACCCTTTACCCAGTTTCCCCTAATGGCTACACTTAAATAATTATAGTACAGTATCAAAAACAGTAATATGATATTGTTTATCACGTGTAGATTTGTGTAACCATTTTTATAAAAGCCGGTCTGATTTTGGGTAAGTTTGTATGAATACTATTCAACATCAGTCTGTGGAAGGGGGTTCTCTTTCCTTAATGTCATATTGTTCCATGTTAGTGCAGTAAGGCTTCGTAAGCCCTAATTTTTATTTTTCGGTTTTTTTTGTTTGTTTGTTTGTTTTGGAGACAGAGTCTCACTCTCACCCAGGCTGGAATACAGTGGCGCTGTCTCGGCTCACTGCAGCCTCCACCTCCTGGGTTCAAGAGATTCTCCTGCCTCAGCCTTCTGAGTAGCTGGGATCACAGGTGCCTGCCACCACACCTGGCTAATGTTTGTATTTTTAGTAGAGACGGGGATTTTACCATGTTGGCCAGGCTGGTCTCGAACTCCTGATCTCAGGTGATCACAACCCCCCCCCTTGGCCTCTCAAAGTGCTGGGATTGCAGGTGTGAGTCGCCATGTCTGGCCTATTTTTTGTTTTCATCAAAAATGTCAGGCTGCACGGTGGTGCCCTCCTTTAATCCCAGCACTTTGGGAGGCCGACGCAGGTGGATCGCCTGAGGTCAGGAGTTCGAGACCAGCCTGGCCAACGTGGTAAAACCCTGTCTCTGCAAAATTAGAAAAATTAGCTGGGCATGGCAGTGGGAGTCTGTAATCCCGGCTACTTGGGTGTCTGAGGCAGGAGAATTGCTTGAACTTGGGAGGCAGAGGCTGCAGTGAACCAAGATTGCACCACTGCATTCCAGCCTAGGTGACAGAGATAGACTCCGCTCAAAAAACAAAAACAAGTCCACATATATATATGAGTGCCAATTATAGCATGTCCTCTGGCCCTGTTTCATTCCTCTTTTTCCCTCTCTCTTTCCTCTTTTTTTCCCCACCCCCTTTATCCCTCATTTGTCCTCTTATGTTAGAAATGTACTGATTCCTGTCTATTCATGGATAGCACAACAGTTTTTATTTCTTGAGGCTTTATGTTATAATATTTGACAGGCTAAACATCTATTACTCTTCTTTTTTTGGAGTTTTAAGTTTTTGGTTCTTATTTGCTTTTTTGTATGAACTTCAAAATTAGCTTATCTACTTCCAGAAGATGGGGTTAAATTTTGTAATTTACTTAGGGAAATTTGACATCTTTATGACATCAAGCATCAGCTTTTGTTGTCGTCGTCGTTCTTGTTTTTTTGACAGGGGGTCTCACTGTTTCACCCAGCCTGGAGTGCCGTGGTGCAGTCTTGGCTCACTGCAACTGTTGCCTTCTGGGCTCAAGTGATCCTTTCACCTCAGCCTCCCGAGTAGCTGGGACCACAGGCGCACGCCACCACACCTGGCTAATTTTTTGTAGAGACAGGGTTTTACCATGTTGCCCAGGCTGGTCCTGAGCTCAAGTGATCCACCCACCTCAACCTCCTAAAGTGCTGGGATTAGAGGCGTAAGCTACCGTGCCCTGCTGACATCAAGTATTCTTGTCCAGGGCATGATGTGTCTTTATTTTTGTTCAAGTTTACTGTAGTGTCATTTGAGTACTTTAAAATTTTTCTTACATGGGTTTGCATATTTTAAGTTTATTTTATGTTTTGTTATCGTAAATGACTTTCTTCCTGTCTTTCATTGTAGCTTTAAAGTGTTATCTATGAAAACTCAAGTACCATGTATCAGATTTCATGAATGATAATTTAAAATAATTGAATCATCTTCCCATTCTTGGAATAAAAAGACTTGTATATAACAATTATTATTTCTTTTAACATTACCCTTTTAATTTGCTAGTATTTCATTTAGGATTTTTGCATCTATATAGTTAGCTGAAATTAGTCTCTGTATTTGCAGGTTTTTCACATTTTTTGGTGTCAGCATTCTTGCTTCACAAAAATAATTTTAGATAGGTCTTTCTCCCCCACCCCGCCCAACACAGCATCTTACTGTCACCCAGACTGGAGTGCAGTGGTACAGCCTCAACTTCCTAGGCTGAAGCAATCCTTTCATCTCAGCCTCCAAGGTAGCTTGGGACTATAGGCTGGACCAATGATGCCTGGTGCATTTTTTGTAGAGATGGGGATTCACCCTATTGCCCAGGCTGTTCTCAAACTCCTGGGCTCAAGTAATCCAGTGACTTGGCCTCCCAAAGTGCTGAGATTATAGACATGAGCCACTGCACCCAGCCCAGCTATTTCTCTTTTATTTTAATGCCTTAGAGTATTTTAATAATATTGGACAAGTAATCTTTAAAGATGTGGCAGAACTTTTTTGTGTGTGAAACCTAATATAAATAAATTTGAAAACCTAGAAAGCATAATTTATCAAAATTGACCCCACATTTTAACTCAATTCCACAGTTAAGCGTATTCATTGTTGACAATCTTTTTGATCCAGGTTTGCCTGGTCACCTGTTAGGTGGCCAGTAGCTCATTTAGAAAAGGACTAGTCAATAGAAAAATGTATAATATGTACCATATAATTTGCAGTTATTTAGTAATCACATTTTTAAAAATTAAAAATAGGTGAAATTAATTTGAATATTTTATTTAGCTCGTATCCAAAATATTGCAAAATATAATCAGTATGGAACTTACTGATGAGAATTTTTGCATTCTTTTCTTCATATTGTTTTTGAAATATAGCTGATCTCAAGTCAGCTTTGAATATAGCTGATCTCTAGTCACATTTTTAAATGCACAGTGACTATATGTGGAAAATTTTTAGAGTGTGAGTCGACAAATGTCTTCTCTACAAAGGGCTGTTGAATATTTAAAGCTTTGCATCCCATATGGGTTCAGTCACGACCACTCCACTGTGCTGGTAAAGCATGAAAATGGTCATTAGATGATGCATAAATATTGCTGTGTTCCAGTAAAACTTCACTTATGGGTACTGAAATAAGAATTTCAAATAATTTTCATGTGTTTGAATTTTATTTTTTTGAACCATTTAAAAATACTAAAACTATTCTTAGCTAGTTTGTACAAAAATAGGTAAGACACAGGCTTAACCCATGTACTCGACCAGATAGAAATAATAGGATAGAATGAAAACAAAAAGGCAGGGTTGTGTAGTTGATTGTGGAGTTCCTAGAGTACGAGGAGTTGAGGGAGAATCCATATGGGGGTAAATTGGGAATAAAGCCAGGTGACCTGCAGATGGCTAGAAGAGGAATAAACAAACCAAAATGGGCCTATGCAGTACAGGCATTGGGGTTTGAGTTATAGTAACCATGTAAGAACTCCTCCAGCTAATAAAAGACTTGGCTTGGAGATTTGATCCTGTAGTATGTAGTTGAGGCAATAATTCTGATACCACATAATGGACAATTGAGTGCACAAGAAACTCTCATGTAAGATAATGTTCCAAACGAAAATGACAGTACAAACAAGAAAGATGAGCCAGAAAACATGTCGCAGGGTTCTAAGATAGGGAAGGGAACTTTAAAGTTGTGCAAAGAACATAAGAGTGTATTCCGAACCTTAAGAGATGAAGGATGTGTGAGCCATCAGAGATCATCAAAAGTCTTAACAGACTGCTGTGAAAAGGAGCCATTTCATGGTCTTGTAAATAAGTCATTGAAAAAATAGTTCTAGGTGAGCTGCATTATTGGCTATCACCTACCACTAAATGAATTAGGAAATAAAACGTAGTTGGTCACCCAGAGCACTGAAATTCCCTGTGGTAATCAAGACATGGGATATATAAAGGAGAAATGAAAAGCTATGGAATGAATTAGGGAGTAAGTAAAAATGTACAAAGTATTTGTAAAGAAAACTGTAAACTTTCCCAGAAGTCTTGAATAAATGGAGACACGTGATTTTTTCTGGGCAAAACTCAGCATTATAAAAATGTCAGTTTTCCCTAAATTAATGTGTGTATTTAATATACTCTTGGTCAGAATCCCAGCAGGTTTTTTTTTTTAAACTTGAAAGCTTGATTTTGATGTTTGTCTCAGAAAAGTAAATGGTACTTTTCTCTTACCCAGGCTTGGAGTGCAGTGGCATGATCATGGCTGATTGCAGCCTCGACCTCCCAGGCTCAAGCAATCCTCCCAGAAAAACTAGAAAATTAATGGAAAACTAAAATTAAAGTGGAAGAGGAGGACTTGCTCAACCATACTGTTTCCGAGCAAAAGGGCTCACTGCCTGATGCAGTAGAAGGCAATGCTGTCTACCAGGTTTTTGAGAAAAGAAAAGCTTTTTTTGTAGGTCAACCAACAAGGAGACAGGAGTCCAGCTCAATTTTATCTTTCTGTGCTGGCTTTAAGGGAGTAATTTTTATTAAAAAGGCCTTAGGCGATGGATTTTGAGATTATTTAGTGATTGGTGGAAGAAAAGGGAGGCCTGGAAAGTCCTTAGCATGCACAGCTATCTCTTCATGCCTCCCGATGGGTCGCATGTGCAGATTGCAGGAGAGTTAGTATGAAACATGGTGGAAATTTGGGCTGTGATGTCAGCAAGC